TGTTGCAATTTGTTGATTGGGATCGACTCTGTCCGCTTTGAACCAGCCATAGCCTATGAGATTCTCTGTCAGATTGTGGACAAGTAGAAGAACATCCTTCCCTTGGACACCATTCGGTGGCACTGATTCAATAGTGAGTTGAGCAGTGGTGGGCGGTTTCCAGATGACTGAGAGTAGGAGGGAAGAGAGAGAGATCAATCAATATTTGGACCTATGTACTGGGATGGAAAGATGAGGCCCTGGGTCCTGAACAGGTCTCTTCATCTCTTAGACCTGGAGTGTCTGTGTGTGTGTGTGTGTGTGTGTGTGTGTGTGTGTGTGTGTGTGTGTGTGCCTGTGTCTGTGTCTACTGGTCAAGGTCAGGACCATGACCACCATTACGTCAGCCCCTCTGGGCTTGTGATTTCCTCTGTTCCCAACACTCTTCCCAGGTGTCTGCCTGGCTCACTCCCTCACTGCCCTCAGAGCCCTGCTCACTCTCAGGGGCATCCTTGGGAGATGCCTTCCCTGACTTCCCCTCTAAAGGCCCTCTGTCTTCACCGTCTGACCTTTCCCAGCTCTGTTCCCTTCAGAAAAAGCAATCCTAAACTTCATGTGGAATTTCAAGGGAACCGAAATATCCAAGAGTATTTTCAAAAAGATCAAAGTTAGAGGACTCACACTTCCTGATTTCAAAATTCACTGCAAAGCTATGGTAACCAAACAGTGTGGTACTAGGATAAAGACAGACATCTTGACCAATGAAATGGAATAGAGAGCCCAGAAATAGACCTTCGCATATATTGTCTAATGATTTTTGACAGGGGTGCCCAAACCATTCAATGGGGAAAAGATAGTCTTTTCAACAAATGGTGTTGGGAAAGCTAGATAGGCATGCAAAACAATGAGGTGGAACCCTTACTTCACACATTATGCAAAAAATTAACTCAAAATGGATCAAAGACCGTAATGTAAAATCTCTTGGAAGAAAACATAGGGTGAAAGTTTCATGACTTTGGATTTGGCAATGATTTCTTGGACATGAATCCGAAGGCACAGGTAACAAAAGGAAAAATAGATAAATTGGACTTCACCAAAATTAAAAACTTTTGTGCATGAAAGAAGACTATCCACAAAGTGAAAAGACAACCCAAAGAATGGGAGAAAATATTTGCAAATCATATATCTGATAAGGGATGAACATCCAGAATATAGAGAACTACAGCTCAGCAACAATAAAAAACCCAGTCAAAAAATGGGCAAAGCACCTGAGCAGACATTTCTCGAAAGAAGATACACAAATAGCCAATAAGCACATGAAAGGATGCTCAGCATCACTAATCATTAGGGAAACTCAAATCAAAAACACAGTGAGGTACCACCTCACACCCATTAGGATGGCTATTTAAAAACAAAGAAACAAACAGAAAACAACAAGTGTTGGCGAGAATGTGGAGAAATTGGAACTTCGGTGCATTGCTAGTGGGAATGTAAAATGGTGCAGCCACTGCGGAAAATGGTGTAGCAGTTGATCCGAAAATTGAACAAAGAATATCCATTTGATCCAGCAATTCCACTTCTGGATAAATACCCCAAAGGACTGAAAGCAGGGATTTGAACAGATATGTGTCTACTCATGTTCACAGCAGCATTATTCACAACAACCAGAGGGTGGAAACAATCCAGAAGTTCACAGATGGATGAATGATAAACAAAATGTGACATACACGTACAAGGGAATATTATTCAACCTTAACAAGGGATACAATTCTGGTATATGGTACAATATGGATGCAACCTTGAACATATTTATGCTGGGTGAAATAAGCCAGACAGAAAAAGGAGTAATATCATCTGATTCCACTCATACTACTTACCTAGAATAGTCAAATTCATAGAGAGAGAAACTACAATGGTGGTTACCAGGGGCTAAAGCAGGGAGTGAGAAATTATTGTTTATTGGGTACAGAATTTAGTATAGTAAGATGAAAAAGTTTTGGAAATGGATAGCGGTGTTGATGCACAACAGTATGACTCTACTGATGCCACTGAAGTATACACTTAAAAATGGTTAAAACTGTAAATCTTAGGTATATTTTATGACATTAAAAATGGTAACAGAAAGAAAAAAAAGGACTCTTGTGCGAGGTCACACAGTATAAGCCAGACTCAGGATGAGAAACTTCCTACATTTGATTCAGAGACTGAGCTCTTAAGTATTTTGCCATTTTGTTTATTGTAATCATCTCCTAATGGATATTCTGCCCCCTGTGGCTTCTATCCATTTTGCACAACATTGGGAGTGTCATCGTCCCGGGAACATGTAGGATCAGACAAGACGTCACTTACATTTCACATCCAGGCTGAGGAGGTCGCTTCTGCTGGAACTGACCAGGTTGGAGACCTCACACTGATAATCCCCGGCATCCTCTCTCCTGACGGGGTCTATGGTGAGGGTGCTGTTGTCCTGGGACAGCTTCATCTGCTCTGTGAGCCAGAGACTCTGGTTACTGAAGAACCACTGGATGGAGATCCCAGTGTCATTTGTGAGGCAGGTCAGGACCACAGCGTCCTTATGTTCTGTGACTGTAGTGTTGGTGGCTTGTATGGAGGGCTGTGCCACTGGATCTGTGGAGAAACAAAGGAGGTGACTGAGTGAGAGTAGGGCTGGGGTCACAGTCGTTCCTCAGCCAGTTCTCAGATCCCACTGTGAGCTGTGTAAAGGTGACCGAGATGATGGCTCTGGCCTCTATAGAAGGACGAGTGTTTTTGTTCAGGTGACAGTCTGTACGGGGAGGGCTGCACCTCCTCTCTGAGCCCTTAATAACGCCAGCATGACCGCAGACTGGTTCCCCATGTCATCTCCATAGTATCATCACCCAAAACCTCTTCTCAGCCCATGTATCCAGCATCCTCATCATCAGGTGGAATTTTTCTCCCATTAGCTTTTGTGTGACCCTTTGTTAGAGCTTTCTGTGACTTTATGAAAGATCAGGCGTGCTCTTGGGTATGGTAGCTTTAAATAGAGAAGTGAAGGTGTTTCTTTTGCTAAATAGTTTGTTAGAGAATCAACATGGCCCAGCCAGTCATCATGACCTTAGGACCTGGAGAAGTTCCAAGCTAGGGTTTCTCAATCTGAATAGGACTTTTACTTCTTGGTTCGTGGATTGAGTATCACAGAGAAGGAAATCTCTAGAGAGAAGTGGTCACAGTTTTAATAAAATGCTGGTACACTTAGCCCTCTCTGTAAACTCTAAACTTTTTGGCACTGCTCCTTCCATCCCATGAAGGGACTTCATGGATGAATCTACCTATTTTTCCAAGTGCTCACCATAATTCACTGTTCTCCTTTGGTATAGGTATGTGCTAGTGTCTCACAGTGTCATATAGCTGGTGACTTCAGAGCCAGGACACAGCTGAGTCTCTTTTCCCATTTTCCTGCAGCCTGGCCTGAGAAAGACTCTGGTGTCAGTGGGTGGCACAATTTGGCTAGATTGAGGACAGGCTGCCCATGTTTCTTCCCTACATGCCCCTGTCCCACCACAGGTGGCATCAGAGCAGAGTCAGTCATAAGGTGAGCCAGGAACAGAAGTACCTTCTTCCTTCTCCCTCTGTGAAGCCCCCTCCACTGTATGGGGCTTTCTGGGGCTGAGAGAACCCCCTCCCCACATTCCAGGCTGGACCCACATCTGCTCTGGGAAATCAGAGAGCAAGGGGAGGAAGAGTCTGCAGAGATGTCGTGGGAGGGTTCAGGAACAGGATGGACACAAGATGGGCAATAGCTTTCGGGAGGTTCTTTCCTGAAAACCAGACAGATTTCCACCCCAAAGCCTGGTACCAATGGTCCAGGGAGCCACTTACCGGACACTGTAATAGTCTTGACTGCGGTCGTATTGAAGCCAGTGACAGAGTTATGGACGAGGCAGGTATAGGATCCACTATCATTTGCAGTGATGTTGGGGATAAAGAGCTCCTGTGTGGATTGCTGGGGCCTCCCATTAATAAGCCAAGAATACTGTGCAGGTGGATTAGAGGCCGCGTGGCAGGAGAGGCTGAGGTTTGCCCCTGCACGGTAATAGGAGTCTGAGGGGGAAATGGTGGGGGCAGCTGGGCCATCTGGAGCAAACAGAATAAAGCCATTTGTGATGTAATCAGAGGGAAGGGGAAGCTCCTGGTCTGTACAACGGCCACAGTATCCTTCTGAGCCAGGTCACAACTTTGCTTTAAAAACTCCCAACCATGACCCCTCTGTGTTCACTCATCCTGAGTCTGAGACATTAACCTGTTTGTCCCATCACAGGTTTTTGACCCCGAGCCTCTCAAGACAGCAGCAGCCCGTCCCCTCCTAGTCTTGGCTCAAGGCTGGGCCTGCCCAGATTTGCCTGACACAGGAAGTCATGGCCAGCCTGGTGTCCAGGGCTGAGGGTCTGTGTACACGAATCTGAGAGGGACGAATGTAGCCTGGCCACAGGTAGTGTGGATTTGGGCAGACACCCTGGGCCAGGTAGGGACAGAAGTTACTCACAGAGAACATTGAGGTAGAATGGATCACTGCGACGGGCACTCACTGGGTTGCGGGTTTCACACTCATAGGGTCCTGTGTCATTCCTTGTGACACGGAGTAAAGTGAGAGTCCTGTTGTCCAGGGACAGCTCCAGCCAAGTGCTGTCCAGGAGGCTCTGATTGTTGATCAGCCACAGGTAGGTGGTGTCCTGAGTCTCAGCTTCACATGTTAACACTACACGGTCCTCATGCTCCACGGGGCTGGAGTTGTTGCATGTGACGTTGGGTTTGGTTAACTCCGCTGCACAGATAACAGAGAGAATATTGCCTTGTGTGGGACCTTTGATTCCTCTAAAGGCCTCTTCAATCAGAATTGGCATCTCTCACCTCTCTGCCAACCCAAGTCCTTAAAAGAATAAGGCAGGTCTGTGTATCCCATGGCAAATGCATAAAGATCTGGGCAGAGAATGTAAGGCCACCTGCTCTATGTCTGGGAGAAAACACAGACTTTCCCAAGTCAAATAAGCCTCAGGGTTGGTCATGGAAAGACACAGGACCGGGAGTCAGAGACCACCCAGTGCTTCTCCTTGTTCTTCACTGACCAGATAACTGTCTGACCAACCTTGGGGTCCTCACCTGGAAAGTGTGCGTGCTGAGGCCTTTTCTATTACACAGACCTACCTCATCTAGTGTAGATGAGTTTTCCCTGAGGCCTTGCTTTCCAGGGTTATCCTAGAGATGGGTAATGATGGGCCTACCTATAGTTCTTAAACCCGGGGAGGACTGAGCAACATAGCCTGGAACTGGGTATTTGAGCAGAAATACTATACTGGGAGATCAGGAGCAAGCACAGAGGTCAGTTCCGTACTCAGGCTGCAGGGCCACGAAGTGGGGCAGGTCTGCCCAGGTGTTCCATGGTGACTGGCATGAGACAGTGACTCCATAAAGGATAGAGCAGAATTAAGGCTAGATATGATCCAGGAAAGAGTGAGGGGGACAGGCAGGGGCTGGCTGGCTTTGAGAGCAGAACCATGTGCTCTGCCCTTGGTCTTTAAAGTCTCTTCTCCCACTGCAGAGGGCAGTGAGGACCATGTTGATCTTTCTTGAAATATAAGTAGATGTTTTCAAATGCAGAAGAGTGACCAGTAGAAAGGTCGGAGGGTGGAATGTAGCCCTCACGGACCGTTTTTAAATAAAATTATGAGACAGAAATCTGAGAAGTTAAATTTTTTCCATATTGAAAGTTAATATTAATGCCCCAAAGATGTAACACCAGTTTCTGGAGGAATATCTCTCTAGAGAGCACTAAAGGTCGTAGACCAAGTTCTGCAGTCCAACCAGGATCACATTATCATCAAAGGAAGATGCTACAGTGGGTTTGAAATCAGTGGCCCCCTGGGTAGAGAGAGACATGTGAGTCCTGTTATGAGGACAGAATTGATTAGGTGGCAAGTCTGACGTGTCTCTGTTACAAAAAGGGAGGAATGCTACCAAATTAGTTGAAATGATATGTGTTATGTTAGTAAATTTAGGAAAGAAGTCTCTGCCACCAATTTATATGGTCAGTCAGGCAAAATGGGAAGAAGGTCCAAAGCTTGTATGTGGCTCTCTTTTGACCTCCGGAAACATAAGGTTGATCAAATTTATCCAAATTGGGCAATGTCTAAGTGAAAGGACAGAGGCTGGTGGATCTCACCCTCTGTGAGCATCCCACCCTATGGTAAAGGTGTCATCATGAGGACTTCTGTGTGTGAAATAGGCAGTAAACCAGTCAGACAGTGCAGGGTCTGGTCAGCCCCACCTTGGGAAGGTCCCAGGAACCACTAGATTAATGGGAGCCTCACCAGGATGAGGATGTGAGTCAGGAGTCAAACAGGTGAAATCAGCCTGTGAGCTTTTGAGGACTGCAGACCTGTCCTCCTACCTTTGACTCCCTGGTTGAATCACATAGAGAATCACGCCCCTGTCCCATGGCATATTCCACTTGTTGACATTGTGGAGGGGAAAAGCCCTGGATGGTGGTACAGTGGAAGCTCATTCTCCTGGTGACTTGGGGTAACTAGCTCATGATGGAGCCTCAAGGGGCTGCTGCTCCCACTTATTTCTCTGTCCTTGACTATTGCCAGGAGGGTGGGTCTGGCTACAGGTGTTAGTGCGAGAATTCGGGGAGGCTTAAGAGTGGAAGAAGCTGTGCGGAACAGGGTCAGTCCCAGCTGGAATGAAGGGGGAGGATGATGAGGGACATGGAAGGTGCAAAGAGAGCCAGAAACCTCCAAGGTCAGAGCAGTGGGGGTTACCAGTGACATCAAAGACCTTAGGCACCAAGAGCCCATGGCTCTCCCAGGGACAGGGCCAGAACGGCCTTAAAAACTCTTCTATTTTCTGAGCAGCCCCACAATCATGATACTCTTTTCTCAGAGTGGCTTTAGGGGCTGGTGGTGAGAGGGATGGAACATGGGTCTCAGCCCCTGGAGAGACAGAGAACAAGTGTGATCATAAACTAGGATTCTGAACCCAGGTTCCAGTCTGGGAGGAGATTATGGATCATTCATTCATTCATTCACCAATCATTCCTTCCCTCCTTCACAAAAGAGCAATTGTGTTGTTGGGACCTGTGCTGGTTGCAGGTGTAGAGTGGGGAGTAAGAAAACAAAGTCCTTTCCTTTATACTCCAGTGGGAGTGACACCAACACATCAGGAACCAAATAAGTGATTTTAAGTTCAGTGTAGGGAGATGTGGATCAGCCACCTGAGGAGGTGGCCTGGACTTTCCCTGCATTGACTCTGATTGTTGATGCAGGTAATTTGGTTCTTGAGTAAAAACAGGTTAAATCTCCTCTTGCTGTCACTCTCCTACCAGAAAATCTACCTTGAGCTGTGGATCTCTAAGAAGAAGCTGTTTGATCTGATCCAACGGCTGGTTTTGGGGTCCATAGATGTCCCCAGGGTGGTGGAGCGATCGGGGCTGTGGCTTCACTAAGATCTTGCCATGACTCTGATCTGCCACTCATAGCCTATGTGACCCTGATTCAATGACTGTATCACCTTGTGCCTCAGTTTCCCCCAAATAAAATCAGGTAAATTGTCTCTGGATTAATATGTTGTCTGTGAATTATCCTTAAAACATCCCCAAATACTTGCCCTAAAGCTTAGTACTGAGGAGCTGCCCAAATAAATGGCATTCTAGAGAGACACCTCCCTGGGCCTGATCCCTGGTGGATGAGGAGCTGCAGGAGCATCTTCTGTCCTCCGTTCCTTTCTGTGGATGGTGACCATCCTTTAGAGTCCCCTATACCCCCAGGGCAGTTGGCTAATGGCCTGGGGACCTTGTCCATCTGCGTTCTCCATGCCAAGCCTCAGGTGAAGGATCAGGCTCCGCCCCTGCCCAGCTGTGGCTCTTTGGGCTGAGCCCTGGCTGGTGACCAGCTCCGGAGCCTGGGACTAGGGCAGCCAGGAAATCATTGTTCCCAGTCAACCCTGTCCAGGTGGCCAAAATCTAACCCTGGCACAGGCTGCCCAAGGTAACTGGAGTCAGGAGCCCTGAGACAGGGGTCTGGGCAGGGGCTTCCCAGATATAGCTTCCCTGTGAGGATCCCAGGGGGCCCCTCAGGCCAGGCCCTGTCGGAGCTGTGCAGAGTCTTCCTCATGGTCATGTTCATGGGGAGGAGCCCAGGGGGCTGGACTGAGACTGATCTCCCTCTGCTGAGTTACTCTCATCAGATTGATTCTTCTCTCTGCAGGGAATGTCTGCAAGACCTGGATTCTGGGAAAGGAATTCCGATCTTATGAAGTTTGTCTCCATTGTATGTGTCCTGCACTAAATGCTCAAACCTCAACATGAGACGTAATGCAGAGGCGGATGTAGGCACAGTCCAGGCCTGTTAATCCTGTGTGTGTGTCACCCCACCCAACCCAAGAGATCAGAGAGGAATCACTCACGGTATACGTGGAGCTGTCCAGTTCCTACTTGACTTAGAAAACTTTTTGTCCAGGCTTGTAGCGTGTAGTATCCTATGTCCTCCTGGGTGACGTTCTGCAACAGCAGGGATCCATTGGGGTATATCGTTTCCCGACCACTGTATACGGGCCCTGGGGTAATTTCTTGTGTGTCTATCACATATGTTGCAATTTGTTGATTGGGATCGACTCTGTCTGCTTTGAACCAGCCACAGCCTATGAGATTCTCTGTCAGATTGTGGACAAGTAGAAGAACATCCTTCCCTTGGACACCATTGGGCGGCACTGATTCAATAGTGAGTTGAGCAGTGGTGGGCGGGTTCCAGAAGGTTATGAGTAAGACTAGGGGGGAAGAGAGAGAGATCAATCAATATTTGGACCTATGTACTGGGATGGAAAGATGAGGCCCTGGGTCCTGAACAGGTCTCTTCATCTCTT